CCTGCTGACCTTTCGGGAGACACTTAGAACTACACGGCCATCCCAGACTCTTCTATCCAGCCTTCCTTCCTCCTCACTCTCCTTCCCATGGGGTCAGAAACTGTGGCCAACAGCTCTTGCAGCTTCCATGTCCTCCTGCTCCATTTGTCCTCCTGCCATTGCCCAATAAATGTCTTGAGGAGATAATCCTCTCATGGCATCAGCTCCCAAGGACCTGGACTAACATGCTAATCCTAGATCTGACCAGAGAATGTTGTCACCTGAAGGGAGCAGGAAGGCGAAGAGATTAAAAGAGACTGTGACCTGTTGGTATGGCAAACACTTTGCTTTAGGCTTCTACACTTCCTCTTTCAGTCCTCTCTATGAGATAGATAGGATGCACCCATTTTAAAGAAAGAGAAACAGAGGTTCAGGAAGCCAAGGTACTTGCCAAGTACTGGAATTAGGAGACAAACTCAGGTTTGTTCAACTCCAAGGATTTTTCTGTTACTTCCTGCTGGGAAGAGGTATTTAACTAGTTTCATCCCCTTCCTCCTACCCTCGTTCTTTTAAATACTAGTTAAAACCTGCTCTGTGTCAAGCATTGAGCTGCTGCTGGGGTTAGTGAGGTAAATGAAGCAAGATTCCTCTAAGGGGCTGCAGCCTTGAGCTGAGATAGGTGTAAAACCAATGATAGTGCAGTAGGGTGATGGCTATGATTTGAAGGCGTGTTCTAAAGAAAGTGTAAACAAATGGAGTAGGGCCTGGAAGAATGAGGGCAGGCTTCTCAGGGGAGGTAGGCCTTGCTCTGAGTCGTGAAAGAAAACTTCATTGTTCTAGGGAGTCAAGTTGGAAGAAGCAGTTCTAGGTAGATAAATAGCTTCTACAAAGACATGAAAGCCAAAGAGGTCAAGGATGTCAGGGAGTGTTTAAGGCACACTGCATTGTGGGAGGGTGCAGGGGGCAGCTGGGGAAGACCAGAATGGCAGACAGAGAGAGGCTGGGCTGGGAAGGGTCAGGTGTGCCTGGACTCTATGTAGTCACATGTGAATCTTCTGAGAAGGCAGATGACCAGGAAGGTTATCCAGGTTGGGGGTGGGGGTGGGGGGCGTAACTGAGGAAAAAGACCAGGTGGGGTGGTCCTAGTGCCTCATAGTGAGATCCTTGAATAAGTACACTGGGCATGGGGGAAGAGGAAGAGAGAATGTAAGAGGTCGTTAGGAGGCTCTCACCACCTCCTCACTAGGGAAGACTTTCTTATCCCACAAGTGAAGAAGCAAAGTGATTTCTTCAAGGTAGCATGAAAACTCGTTGGCAGCTGTCTTCACCCATCATTGCCAATCCTTAAACAGGCTGCAGATCGGAAAATGGAGTCAACTCAAGTCTCCAGAAAAGCTCTACTGCATATCATCTCCACTCCTGCCTTTTCAATTGATGTCCAGGATACCAGGATAACCTACCACCAAAATTGGGCCTGAGAAATTTGTTATATCCTGCTGTGAGGTTCTCAAAGCCAGGCAGGGAAAGCTTGTCACTTCTGAGGGCCACGGTGTTAAACTGGTTCCCCTGGCTGCACATCCTGCAAAAGAAAGTGAGTGTTGTTGCACGTGCTTGCTCATATGTGGACAAACATGTATGCACATACACTGCATGTGTGTGTATGTGCCTATGTTCCAACAGTGACTTTCCTAAAGAGAAGTATCTTACTTTTTAGCTACTGAGTTACCATTGCCATTTTCCTTTTTCACTAGAGGGTGTGTGTGCTTGCCAGAGAAACAAGAGCGGAGGAAGAGTGGTCATGTCACAATCTCTTCTCCATCTCTCCCTGCTTTCAGGATCTGGGGCTTGCATGCACCTAGGCCTGGCATGTTTCTCAAGCTGCCGGGTCTAGGATTCAATCACTGGGACCCAGCTGTCTTCACCCCTAGTCCATAGAGTTGGCCCAGCTTCTCCATTTTATTACCCATTCATTACAGGTCAGAATGTCGTGAAAACTTGAGACCCCTTAAGGGGTCTTGTCAAAACATAAGGGGTTTATCCATCTATGACCATGTTGGAAGCTTCCATTCTCTAAGTAGAATAGTGGGAAGTTTTATTGTCTCAGTGCTTCAGGGACATGAATGGACTGGGTTTTGCCAGGCAGAAGAACTGCCACTGCTCCCACCCATGCCCACACACAAAGCAGTTTAGACCAAGGCCAGGCTGGAGTAGCAAACTCACCTTGGTATGAAGAGGCTCAGACACAGGAAAGCCAAGTGGAGACTATAGCTCATGTCGGGGAGTGATTCACACAGAAAGGGGCTGCAGTCGGAATTGCCTGGAGAAAGAGGTGGGGGACAGTGAGAGGCAGGCAGTCCAAAAGGCTCCTCTGTTCTCAGCTGGGCTGCTCTCCCTGTGGTTGTCAGGAACAGCACCTTCTCAGCAAGCATGGGGAGCAGCCTCTGTCCATTTTCTGCTTGCAGCTCTTGCTCCTGGGTGTCACCAGGAACGGTGCCATTTTGGAGGAGGATGTTTTAAATCCACCCCAAATAAAGGTTGAGATCCTGCTTAGTGAATGACTTACCAGCACACAGAGATCCTGCTTAGTGAATGACTTACCAGCACACAACATAGCCAGTCTGTCTTGGGTTACATATTTGGGGAGCCCCAAGACAGACCTTTCCCTGTGCTGATCCTTACTTTGGAAGGACACCCCAACTCTACACTCCCACTGACTGAGCCAGACATGGTCTTATTTAACCCAGGGCCTGGGCCTATGAGGCAGATGGTGTAGTCTCAGCAGATCATCCCCTTCAGTGTGCAAAGGTGGTGAGCAGAGGAGGACACGTTCTAAGATGGAAGTCACGAAGGCCATCTGATTCTAGAAGAACGTCTTGCATTTGTCTGCTGGACAAAGAGGGTGGGGGCATGAAGATGTGGGTGGGGCCATGAAGGCTTGCCCTGGGCCACTCCCTGCCCTTACTCTCAGCCTCAGTTCTCTTATGGCTTCTTCCTGGTCTCGAAAATGAACTGGAAAATGAGCAGAGAACCTTCCATGCACCAGGTGACGTGTTAGGTTCTTTGCCATGGATCTCACCAAATCCGCACTAACTAGTGCAGTGGACTCCCTGTACTGTGATAAGGAAACAGGTCAGGTAAAGGACACCATATGGGTGAATGCCAGAGAGACTTTGTGTCCAGGGCTGGCTGTCTCACTCTCCAGGACTCTTCCTTCAGAACAGGCTGGGGCCTGTGCCTTCACTGGCCTGAGGATACTCATGCTTTCACGACCCCCCAGGCCTGATCCCTGGGTGCCATGAAGTCCTTCACCCAGCATGTATGAAGACTGCTGGGAAGGCACGGCGCAGGGCGTGGCCTCCTTAGGTTTGGGAGCGGCTGTCAGGTGTCTCTCTGAGGGCGGGGAGGCAGGCAGGCAGGCCAGCTATGGTGATAGCAGAAGGGGGGTTCTCAGGCTCAGGCCCCATTCCCAGGCAGTCTCAGCAGATCATCCCCTTCCCTGTGGCAACCTCTGTGGTCACTTTCTAGAATCTGGCCATTCTGGAGCTTAAGGCACAATTCAGCCTTTCACTAACATTCGTGAACCACATGACGGATCCGTGTGGTTCATTGGCTATAACTAACGTACCGCTCTGGGGTGGGGTGTCGATTCCAGGGGGGCTGTGTGAGTGAGTGTGTGGGGAGCGGGAGAGAGGCTCGGGTTTGCTTTGAATCTAAAACTGCTCTAAACAAATAAAATCTATTTAAAAACGAAGGCCAAAGCAGCAGAGTGTTAAGCCCCTCATGTCTTTTCTCTAGTCCCCTACCTCAGAGATAATGACTGCTAACAGTTTATTCACACACGTATGCATTTCTATACACGCATATCTCAGCAGAAAGAAAAACTGGAAAAGCAAAACTGGAGCCATAGCAAGCATTTTTTGCTATTTACTTTTTCACTTAATAACAACAGCAGACATTTACTGAATACGTAACGCCTGCTTACACTATGAGCGGAACCCTCACTACTCTCAAAACATTGGCTACCATTCTCCTCACTTAACGGCTGAGCAGCCCAAGGCTTAAGAGTGGACAAGGACTGATCCCGTGCAGGTGAGGGACAAATGAGATGCGAATTTATGTAGCATTTAAATGGTAATTTATACAATTTAGAATATACATAGCATAAATGTATATAGCAAATGAAAGGCAGAATTAAATCCAAGAAAACCAACCCAAGTCCTCTTAATCACTGCGTCGTAAAACATGCTTTTTCCAAAAACTGGCAACACCTTTCCGTGTCAGCTTGTATAGGTCTGCCTCATTCCATTGGTGGCAATATATTTCATTATATAAATGTACCAACGTTTATGTAGAACATGTCCTATGTACGAATACTAAATGATTTCAAAAAGTTTGTACCATTTCCAAAATCAGTCAGGAAATGTTTGCACACGAAGGAAGCGCTTATAACTCTGCACTCTGTTGTCTTTTTCTATCTTACCCCTTTCTTTCTCACTCCGCAAAAGTATTAGTTATAAAATCAACATTATTCCCACTTTTTTTCCTTTTGTCTGTTCTTCCAATCTCTGTCACTCTCCCTGTCCTCAGCATCAATTTTAAGAAGTTTCAGGGAGCGGGTCTCATGCCTTCCACCCCTGAATTCAATTTCCCAAAGGTCTAGCAAGCTCTTTCTATGAACCGCTGTGAGAGACATTGCCTGCGTACTGGGCTGTGGGAGTGGTGAGGGGACGTTCCTCGTAACCCTCTTCTGACAGGAGCAGAGACAAAGGGACATTCAGTGTGCAAAGGTGGTGAGCAGGGGAGGACGCGTCTAAGACAGAAGTCACGAAGGCCGTCTGATTCTAGAAGAGC